TATATGAAACTAAACTATATGACCCAAGATTTACGCAAAGAAATACAGTTGTGTCGTTTCAGCATATAAAATCTCAGCTGGCACAGCTGCAAAAGTTGGTCAATTTCCATGGGCTGTTGCGCTAACAACCATGAGTCGGGAGGAGTATAACTATTGTGGCGGAACAATCATTTCAGCACGACACATTCTCACTGCTGCACACTGTATTATGGACTATGAAAGCGATCGCCTGCCTTGCACGTCCGTTTTTTGTGATTTTCTGGAAAACTAGCATTACCGCAAGTTGTATGGATGCATCTCAGTAACAAGCATGAGCAAAGGTTCGAATGGCGTGCAATCAACTGATTATGAAAGTTTATGAATAGTGTCCCCTCCACAGATTATGGATTTCTGGCTTGTATCAGCGATTCTTGAAAAACTTAGCTTTCTTATTGAACGACTGAAAAAGCAGCGACTCCTCCTTGACAAATAAATGATTCTATGGGGCCTAGTCATTATCATGGGTATCCCATGTTAGTGATTTTATTAGGACGCTATCACCCCACACCGAGCAGTGCTGTGCTAAGCCCTTCAGTCTTGACTGTTGTAACAAATATGCAAAATGAAAACTAAGGTTGCGAGCCTCTCATAAGTATTCAGTGGGACTGAGATCGTCAGCATGATTTGCCGGCAGATATTGGTAAATTGATGCTAGGTGTCTTATCAGGTTTCAAAGAGAGCAAAGTTAGCATCGAAGTGCTGGTGCTCGGAAAGTACCAAGAGTGTCTCGAAATGATTAAAGTCTTGCCAGGTGCTTTTGTCAGAAGAATTGTTGAGCTAATGTTCCCTTGAGTGGACCATGCAGACCCAAAGGACCACCTGCACGGTGACCGCCAAAAAAACATGCAGCATTGGCGTAGACGGACCCAGGGGAATTGGCACAGGCACCAGTGCAGCAAAAGCCCGGATCTTTATTGGTGCGCATGCCATCTAGATTTTCCGTTGCTGCAGCTGTTTAAATTCTGTTATAGAAAAGCGAAAAGCACCATTGACAATTTTATAAGTAATTTGCAAAAGCTTCAGATCATCAGAGGAAATTTTCATCGCCTCACTATCCCTCATTCTCAATCATCTCTCTCTCCCTTCCCTTCCCGCCAGTCCGTCCTAGATGCGCCTTTGAGCATTGGTCAAAGCCATTGGAAAAATTGTCAGCATGCATAACCAGACTATGAAATGCAGCTGGCAGTGTAAGCGTTGCTGGAAAAGATTGGACGCGCTAAATTATGCCTACTTTACCGAAATTTACTGTGTTCAGCCCTGACCAGCGTAACTGGCAGTGTTCTGTCCCAAAAAGAAGATCAAGCCCTGCAGCTGTTTTATGATGCCCACAATGCGCTTGACTGTAACCCCTGAAGTTAAAGCTCGCGTATGGATGCTTAGCATCCCGCCAGGCAACAACCAGAGCACTGTGATTTGCGAGTTGTCTGTTTTTGATCAAATAAGAATTGGTGCCCAAAATTTTCCGCTTGCTTTATGCGTGGAGAGAAATCCAGTAAAGCTTGATGCCCCAGAAAAGTTGCTTTTGACGCACATGATTTTGCTGTGACCAAGCGAGAAAGTAAAATTCGTTGAGTAGGAGATGTTGCTTTTCTTGACAACAACCGGTGGTCCTTGAAAATTAGTGAATGGTACTTTCGAGCAAGTAAGTAACGACTCGAACGTTTTCTAAAGAGATAACGCACATACGTCAAACGGGCGCTGGATATAGAATTATGAAGCCCATGATTGAAAAGCCCGGCTAAACTGCGCCGGGAGTGTCGGAGTATCCTAATCTCATTGGTAAAGCACACCGAGTATCCACATTGGTTACCCGGACAGTCATCGTAACCTTAGTAAATAGCATAATTCTTGGGATGTAACATATTTATGTAAAGCACACCGATTACACACACTGGTTATCCGGGCAGTCATCGTAACCTTAGTAAATAAAATCTTAGGATGCAACATATTTATTAAAATATGTCGATAATTTCTTTAGGTCGGCGACACCTCTGCACGACACCTCGGACCTTGTGATACGGTATGGTGGAGTATGTTTACGAAAAACTTCTCCGCCCTGCCCCTCACAACTGTGTCAAACGGCAAGGATTCGGAAAATCGCTGTATACAAGCGGTAAATTGTTTTTTTTAAAAATTTCGACTACGAGGCAACAATAAAATATCTGCTAAGAACATTCTTCCAAAAGTAACTTTTGCCGATGCCCCGGAATGAAAAATGAACCAAGGATAATGAGATCGCTGGAGGGAGTCAGTGTATGTATCTCATGTTAGTGATGTTACTGAAATCGTCCCATATGCCGAATGAAGTTTTGTCAAACCTTTTGATGAACAAAAACTCACAAGTGGATGTATCTCAGAGCTATGAGGAACTAGAAAAGTTTTATGAGTTTTAACAAAATTTTGAAAACAGCGCAGCCATTGTTTTTTTATTCCAGATTCTGGGAAACTTCAGTTTTTGCAGCTGTAGGTGCAATAAATAAGTGTAAAGACTTTGCAGCACTAGATGCAATTTGAAGTGGTTAAATGGGTGTTTAAACCATTGGAAAGAAGAATTAACTACAGATGTAATTTGTAAGAAGAATATTATTGTAGCAGAGAAAGAAGTAAATTAAAGAAACTAAAGAGAAATGTTTCGGTTCATAAAGTCATAAAGTCCAATCAAACACCATAGTTGGGCATTTGTGCGTCCTGAATTCTAAAGTTTAGCACGAGTTGATAATTAATCCTAAAGAATGCTCCGAAAATTAGCACGAGTTGATAATTAGTCTTTCCTTTCTATTTCAGCTTTATGGATGAAGGCTGTATACGAGGATTTGATTTCGCAATTGCTGAACTGGAAAGCGATCTACGGGTCAGTGCAGTCTGAGCTGTCCGAAATCCAATACTGTGCAGTTCTACGCAGTATAATTTGAAAACTTCCACAAAAGCCAAATCAACTTCCAGTTTCTTCTGTTTTTTCAACGTCAATGAATGAAAATCTTGAAACCTCCCCCGGATTCAAAATACTTCCTCAACTATATCTTGGTAATTTTGAGTTTTTTGAATAAACTCGTTAGAAACCGATTAGCTAATCATGGAAATTGGTTAACAAATCTTGTTCTTTTTTTTTTTGAATTCCATTTGCTTTCTTGTGACCCAAGGACACTTCAATATTCTTTTTATTTTAAACAGAATGTGTTGAGATTTCACTTTGTTCATTTGCCTGGAATAAAATATGTTTTTTATTCAGGCAGTGCTCGAATTTCAAAATTTTGATTTTTCAGTTCGATGGCTCAACTTCGCCTATTTGCTTACCAAATGGGAATTTCAGCCTAATGGCTGCCTACAATCTGTATGATTTCGGCTTTGGAGAGAACGAATGTGAGCGAAATTTCACGATTCGAAAGTAACAGTGGAAGCAGTGCCCTGTAATAGTTTTCTTATTTCAGTGGGCGAAAAAATGTCCCGGCTGAATTATGGTAGCGCAATGATTACTGCTGTTTCGCAATATCACGATTTCATCCGAGCTGGGCCCATTTTCAGCAGCAACAGTAAAAACCGGTCTCGACATGGAATCTGCAACGTAATTGCTTTTGCTGTACTAAAAACTCGAAGATTGAGTAGTCAAAATTAATTTGTTTAGCGTTCATTTACCTATTCTTTTTTTTCCTCTCTCTCTCCCCTTCTTCCATTGGGAAAATGCAAAAGCGCATAATTTGTTGTAGAAAATTCGAGGACGATCGAGGAGTTGCGTATAATTTAGAATTAATTAGTTGATTAACACAGCACAGTATTCTGCTTTTTTTTCAAAAAAAATGAAGCACAGTGAAGCAAAAATGAAGCATTACGTTTTTATATAACCCTCATTTATTGGTTAGAAGCCCAAATTTACACGATTTTTTGATGTCAAGAATCCAAAAACGTTAGGTCAGTTAGTGCGGATGACTTCAGTCAAAGATGTTACTGGGATGCTCACAAACGCCAAGCGCAGCTATGCCGGGCCATTCGATCCTGGATTGCATACCCATCCACTTAGTGCGCACCGCTTCTATTCGATGCGCCAACTTTTCGGAGACAGCCTTAATATCTACCGCCTCTACTCGATCGCTTGCTTTCTCATGGGTACCATTCACAAATTTGGATTATCAGCAAGCTGCAACACGCTCTGTCCATCGGATTTTACAGTGGTGCAGTGATGTCCTGCACGACGCTAACTCTAATAATTTCAGATAAATCAGGACCATCTGAAACGTAGTTAATTTTTAGGGTGACAGTGGTGCAGGGCTTCAAGGATTCTTCAAACAACGTGCTTATCTAATTGGAATACACTCATTCGGCCCAAAATTCTGCGACGACGGTGCGCCTTTTACGGTCACCGATGTACGGCCGTACGCACATCTGATATGCCGGGTGACAGGAGTATGTTATCAATTAGCAACTTAACTGTGCCATTCTATTTCATTTGCCATTCTGAATAGTGCCAGTTCTCAAAAGCTTATTCATTTTGCGCTAAAAATTTAAAAAAAAAATAACTCATTTTCCCTTAACAAAGCAGGTTGTTTTTGCTTACTGTAGCAGCACATAACAAA